ACCATCAGCACAAATTGGCCCCTTGAAGGCTGTCCATCGGCAGTCGCAATGATAGGAGGAATAGCCCTCATGGCAGGTTCCGTTGTTAAGGCAGGGATTAGACTGGCACTTCCCAACGCAGCCTGCATGAACCCCATACATGCCCCTCTCAGCCCTTCCCCTAAGATCCTGCAGTTCCCCGTTGAGGACCAGAGCACGGATGCACCCCACAAAGCCATCTCGGTAATCCAAAGTGGCTCCTGGAATGGGGAGACAACACAATCAGGACAGCAGATGACACTGATCACATCCAGTCTAAAAACTAAAAATACAGACAAAAATGAACAAGCTACTTAATATTCCCTCAATACATGACCGCGTAAGAAGTAAAACAACTATGCAGTCGAATCATGTTTCCGACCTCAGTCAGAAAAAAGCAGTGGGAAAGGAAGGTAGAGAGGGCTTATATCACCACCACTCAGGCCACTCACCAACAACAAAGTCCGATTCCAGGTGTATCGCTCGCACAGGACCGCTAGGTTCCTTCAGCACAGCCTTTCCACCTCCATCTACAATCATGCGGGCTTCCTTGCGGTTTCGCTCAACTAACACTGAGTGCCATTTGTCGTCGTTCAGAACATATGCTGTTTCAACGCTCACACTCATAGGCCCTGCACCAGCCTGGTACTGGAACTGGAGCTGCATGCCACCTGAGGAAAGAACATTTTTGGATGATTAACTGATTTTCAGGATTTCTGTCACTTACAAATTTATACTTAAACAAAATCTTATTTTTGGTGATGAACTATTTCTGTGAAATCAACTAATGCAGTAGCTTTACCAAGACCAAGAAAATAAACAAAGTATAACAAGACAAATCTTAAAAGGATAAATTCACAACTTTTCCTAAAATTTGGGATATATTATTTCCAAGCTTTTTTGCCTTTGCACACACAAAAGCACTATAGCTCAATTAGGAAAAAACTTGCCACTAACCAAATATACCACCTTAAACATAAAATTATCAGGATTTCTATATCCTGAAAGTATGATAATAATACTTTAATTTATATGAGAAAAAATAATAAACAAATAAAAGTAATAAGAACAAAAATAAGAAAAATAAAAAGCAACTAATTCATCAGACTCACCCACAATGGAGACCTTAATGTAATCCGTCGTGCCCCTTGCATGGATCAGGCATCCATCCCGGATTGTGGTCTTGAACTCAAAGTAAATGTCACCTGAATGACCCATGTCAAATCGTGGCAAGTTGATGGTTGCATCAGCTTTGCGGAAAGTGACCACATTGTCAAAGATGTCTGTGGAGAAAAGAGACAGGTTTATATCCTTTTCACAAGGGAAACTATACAATAAATAAGAAGGGAAAATAAGGAAGAATGGTACAGAAAGGTAAGAAGAGAATGACAGGGAAATGAAAGAGGGAGACGAAAGTTAAAAGAAGGGAAGAAACCAAGGAAGGAAAGAGGCATTAAGCCACTTACGATGGGTGTCCCACATACGAGACACCAGGAAAAAATAAAAAATAAATAAAATAAATAAATAAAAAAATAATAATAATACCAGGCGTCCCGCCAGTGAGACACTGTATCGGGGCTTGCGCTCACTGCTTGCGGGGCGGCCGGCACACTGGGCAGAGTCTGGGCGTTGGTGGGTTAAGGAGGAAAGTAAAGAAATGAAGGGAGGATATGATATAGATGAGCAGAAAGAGGATGAGGAAGGGAAGAAAGTGGTAGGGAAAGAGAGGACAAAGGGGGAAAAAAAAAAGAGTATAAATAAAAAACAGAAGGAACTAAGATAAAATGAGACACATTAACTACTCACGAAAAGTCTCCGATACATATACATATAACAACTGGAAATATCTGGACACAAAACCCCAAAACACAGACTGGACTTACTGTCTCCTTCACATATCAGAGGTCCAAGTGTGTATCGTGCCTTCTTGCCATCCAAGGGTGAGCCTGTGTCTCCTATACGCAGCTGTCTCACAGGAAGATGCTCCTTCACGGTCAGCTCTCCGCTATCAAACAGCCACGACTCGAGGCCTAATGAAGAGCATTCAAAGTTTATCAAGGGTTCCTGCTAATCATAAATAATATTGAAAATTTGGTATGGTTTACGCTTAAGCTACAGAAGACAGAAAAAAATGGAAAATTCAGGAAAATTTAAGACAATTGTGAGATATAACACATAAATAGCTAATTCAATCCCATGTTGGTGCTGCAACTATATCATATCAATGCTGTTGTTTGAGTATACGACAGTTAGATACTTAACCAACTTGCACAAATATTCTACACACATAACCTGTGTTTCACTTACTGTCACAACTCTAAATATTACTGTGACCTTACTGTATGACACTGAGAGAAGGAAAAAATATATACATATCTTTCATACAATAATGGAAATGATGATAACTATAACCATTACAACAATAAACACCTCACAATCTCTTAATCATCTTTGCAATAATACATCGGTGAAAATCATCAATCTATCAACCACATCAACATACAGTGCACTCATCAGCCAAAAGATCTCACACACCATGTCGATCATGCTCACAAAATGCTTGTGAAGACGCTTCTCATCTCTCTGCACAGTACCTGACTTGCTTGCACGAAGGCTTCACACTCTTCTCATACTCGTTTCTCAAGACTAAGGGGGAGGTATAAGACAAGTTACATAATCTTGTTTGCAATATGACAGAAATCTTTGAAGTTACTCATGAGTGCAGTACCCGTCTTTGACTTTTATGATTTGACAACGGAAAGTAGTAGTACTCTGCATGACATGCTTATTACCATACTAGCAAATGTTTATAAGATTTCCTTTGATTGCAAACATTATAACATCCATATTTACCATAATTTTCCCTTTTACTGTAGAGTTTAATTAACTTTGCTTACTTGTTGAAGTAAGCACACTGCTACCAGTATCACATTTACACACAAAAAACATTAAATAAAATCACATTTGGTTTAGCACACATCTGGAAGGAATCTTTTGTGAAAGCAACACACAATGAACTTTTCACATCCAGAAGTCACTATGCTTTCAACTTTTATAATATACTAACCTGCATCACAGTTGCACCATTTGCCAGTAACACAGGTGCCCATAAGACCACACTCGCACTTCCGAGACCCTGGCAGAGATCCTCCCCAGTAGTCCATGGGCTGGTTATTGCGGGAGACCCACCAGGTGTAGGGCTGGAAGGAGAAATTACATATATTAAGACTATCTGATAAAGTGTAATGGGACTTCAAAGAAAATTCTCCGAGGCCTCTTCATGTCTTGATATATTTGAATAATAAGCAGAGCAAAGCAAAAATTATGCAAGCTACTTTACCTGGAAGTCCTGATCCTCAGGTGAAGGAGAGTTAAAGAGCTTGGCCTTCAGGCACTCGAAGTGAATGCGCTGCCGGCACTTGGTGGAGCGGTTGACAAAGATCTCTATCTGTTCCATTTCGGTGTCATAAATAATGTTCTGTACATATGACCCTCTCCTCTCAAAGCCGTCCACAGTTGTTGTCATCTCATGCTTGTGGCCCAGGTATGAGTACACCTTGCCATCATCTTTAGAGGAGAAGAGATCATTACTGCAAGTTCCTGTTCTTTAATACCAATAGACTAACCATCATTATGATATTTGTCCTCTTCCCTCTTTCCTCTAAACTATTTCTTGAATTTCTTTAAAAACCTTCTCTCTCCATCTGTTTTTCCTTTTTATTTCACACAGATAATTTTAAGACTCTCATTCACTCATAGTTCATATTATAACAGAACACAAAATGAGGGTTCATCCTATACCACAGAAAGATAATAGAGTAAGAAATTCATATTTAATGAAAAAATTAAACACTTATTCTAAAGAATCATCATCAATAAAAATTTCAATAGCATTCCCTTATGACCATTTCTTCTGTATATTGCAGAAAATGATGATAATAATAATGATAATGAAAATAAAAATAATAATAATAATATTGATGATGATGATGATGATGATGATGATGATGATGATGATGATGATGATGATGATGATGATGATGATGATGATGATGATGATGATGATGATGATGATGATAATAATAATAATAATAATAATAATAATAACAACAACAACAATAACAATAATAATAATAATAATACTGACAATTATGATAATTATCATGATAATAAATAATAACAGTAACTATTATAAGAACAACAACAGAAAGCTAATAAACAGGGAACTGATTACATACTGTAAAATTCACATGTGACAGGGAAGGGAACAAGAGGCCCAGAACCATCAACGTCAATAAAAACTTCAGCACGTTTGGATCCGGGATTCTGCATTCCATAGGCAGCACAAGAAATGGGGTTCAAGGCTGGAAAGAGAGAGAGACAAGCATAATGAGAATTTGTGCTCCTGTATTACTATAATAATATTTACAAGTATAACTACATATACATTCACACATACACATTCCTTACATGCACGGATCACACATTTTCAAGCACCACATAAATCACACACCACACATGCACTCATACTCGCAATAACATGTCTATATCTAATATATCAGGTCATTATAAAATCATGAGCTATGCTATACAAAATGAATGCAAAGGAAAAAGATGTCCATGACAAATCTTAACCCTTTGGCAGGCAAGTGACCACATATGATTACTTAAATACATATATACATGAGGTACTTAAAACGTGTGCCCAGTAAAGGGTTAACATTCTTAACGCCACAAGATATACTTACAGGTGTGGCAGACGGCACCAGAGTACCCTGTTCCTGAACATTCACAGAAAAATTCTTTGCTATTCTGCTTGCAACGACCATGGTTTTCACAAGGATTAGGATTGCAACGATCCATTATCTGACAAGCAGCCAATACTATTCCCTTCCTGTCACTTATTTCCTGTAAAAAAAAAACATTAATATGAAGCTTATCAATCTTTTAAAAATTTAGTCTTAAACAGAAAAAAAGTGAATGTACTGATCCAACAGAAAAATTCAGCAGATCTAATGCAGAAAGGCACAACTCACCTCCTCTTTGGGCTTCTGCATGAATCCCAGCACGGAAATACGTCTCATGCATCCAAGGAAGCCTTCCGACCCATAGACACCACCTTCAAAAAAAGGTACATCAAATGAAACTTGAACATATAAACAAGCTAGCTGTACCTGCTGTGCATAGATACATAAATCTTGGGATATCTTAATCCATCACTGTTGGGAACATGCACTCTCCCTAATAGTTTTGTTTTGTAAATGTTATTTATATATTAATGGCTCCACAAGTGACTAATCACCAAGGGTCAATTAGCAGACCTGATTTCCCCATTCACCATTCTCTGGAAAATGTTTTTTTTTTTTTTTTATAATGCTATTAATACTGATACTATTATTATCATCAATGGAAGAAAAAAAGAAAAAAGAAAGAAAGAAAGAAAAAAAAAAACTTAAAATCAAGGAAAAAGGTAAACAGGTAAGATAGGTAGGATTAGAAACTGAATCCTTTATGACTAAGTTCTTGTGGAGCCTTCCCAACATCAAACCCTCCCCTCTTTCCTCTCTTACCTCCAACAAGGAAGTATTTGCCAGATATTACGGAGATGATCCTTGTGGTCTTCATGGGGACGTCATCAACTGTGAGCTCCATGCTGTTCTCAGCCACAGTAAACATGGCTTTGTGCCACTGGCCATCATTGTAAGTAACATCAAAGTTATCAAGGACAACCTTGCCTGGGGTTTTTGATGAGGAGATCACAACTTTTACTTTGCCATCTTCCAAATAGAGCTGTAATAGTGATATTAAAAGTAGATTACATCTCCGTATATTTAGCTTCATAACATACAGATTTATAAATATCAAATTAAACCAAACTTAAACCAAAAAAAGCTTTTTAAGAAAGATAACAGCATCAAAAATAAGAGTAAAGTGAACCCTAAAGATGCCCTCACCTTGAAGTAGCCTGTGTTGGAAAACTTATGGTAGATAAGTACACCTGACTCCTCATACGTCCTAAACTCTACTGACACATTGATGGAGCGTTGATCTTCAAAGGCTGGGTAGCGGAGGTGAGCCTCTCGCTTCAGGAAGGTCATGGTCAGGTCAGAGGAGTCTCCATACTGTCAAGAAACAAGTAGATAATCAAAATGTATGATGTTAATTAATGTTTCAAGTTGTTAATCACAAAATTTAGACAAACATAATCACTCAAAATGCACACGCACGCACACGCACGCACACACACAATGTATAAATGGATGTAGGGATAGATACATACACAGACACAAGATATTCTACATAAATATACAACTTCTTCCATTCTAACTCCACCTTTCCACCTTCATTATCTATGAGACTACTCCATGACCAATATAACCCCCGCCCCCCCTCAGGCTCTTCCAGGGTTAAATATACTTACAGGACAGGTGCTTGAAATGTTGATCTTAGAGTACTTGGGACGCCGGTAATAATAAGAGTAATAATCATCAGCATCTCGCATCTCAGGAATAATGGCAGTGCCGTTAATGAAAAGATTTTCCATACAGCCAGTGAAGTTCACTCTTGCCACCATCCCTGGCTGCAAGTTCGGCACACCTCCAATATAAAACTGAAAAATAAAAAAAGATTTGTTAAAAGCTGATTTTGAGATCTTTCTCATATTTCATAAATTTTGTCAAACACATTCCATTTCTTACAACATTAAATGCTCTAAGCAGATGATAAGGGTGTAATACTCACCTCTCTATTAAGATCTAGCCTCTTGAAGTCACCATGAATTACGTCGTCAATCCTGACCCGATCCACCAGGAAGGTGATGTTCCTCTGCTCCCTGCGAATCTCCACGTCATGCCAGGAGTTGTCATCCAAAAGTGACCCCACAGAGAAGGTGCTCTTTACCTTTGATCCTGTTTTTTACAAAATGAGTACATTAGACATGAGACCCAAATGTCAATTCAATGAAATGCAAAATACCTTCCATTTCATTTCACTGGTAGACCATAATTTGTATTAACAATGGCTGAACTGCTTTCCGGACTTCCACTCCACTCTATACAGTGGTTATAAGCTGGATACTTCCACCAACACACGAAAAAATTGCACCATCCATTGTAACTTGAAGTATTGTTTACTCAACCAAAGAAAACAACAACATACACTCTCATCAGCAAACAAAATTAGGAAATTAAACAAAAACTAACATCTTACATCAATGCTGCTGACCATTTTCTTCACAAAATGACCAAACTTTCTCTAATCATAAAGTCTTTACAACTAGTTCCAAGGTTTGTGTTATCATAAAACCTTTCTGATGCTCCTTTTGCTCTGCTGAACAGTTTCCAACTTCAATCCTATGACCAAGGATGGCATGATATCATGCAATGGCTGTGGTGGATTGAATTGCGAATGGCACCATATAATGACACACCCTGCACCATCCGCTCATGCTCGTCTTTCTCCAAGAGTAGAGACATTGTTTGT